TGTTGTTTATAGGAATGGGAAAACCACAAACATCGTAAATATTCAAATAGTCATCACTAGAAGTTCAGTCAAATAAATTGTATCCTAAGAAGGGAATGCAATACAGAAAAAATTGATGGATCTACACCTACTATCCTGAAGAGATGCCCACAATATGCTAACCAAGAGTTAGATAAAATATAATCACACTTGTGTAAAAGTAAAACATGGAGGGTACAAGCAAGGAGAGAGGAGCACTTTGCATGCACTCAAGCACATAAAAAATACAGAGATTAAAGAACGTAGACCAAAATGTTAATTGTGACTATTTTCAGTGGTGATATAAAAGGTTGTTTGCTCTTTTTACATTTTGCTTTTTTCTTTTTTACTAGATTTTTCTGAATAAGCCTTTTATTACTATTATTCAAATAATTCTATTTCCACTGTCAGGATAAAAAAATCAAGACTTACCCAACTAAAAGAAGAAGTGCACAAATCACAGCAAATCCCAAAGTGTACTTGAGGGCCGTTTTTATTTGCTAGTTGACAAAGGGAAAAATGTACCATTTAGCAAGCCCTTTAAAATATAAAATATTCTTGTAACAGTATGACAGTACTTTTACATCAAATATACATTTACAGTCAACAGTGTAAAGCTTGGCTTGTTAAAAAAAAACTTAAAATTTAAAGAATAAATAATGTATCTATCACATCCTAAGCATCTCTGCAAAATACAATAGATTTTAAAATCTTTTCAGTGGTTAAGCCCTTGTGAAAAGCAATACACCTAAAGCTTAATTCTCCAGTGGGCAACTTTAGTAAAATTATCAGAATATTTAAAAACATATTTCCCAAAACAGAGAGCAAACAGAATCCACAATGCCTCTAATCCAATTCATCAAAATGGGTTATAATAATAATAAACATTTAATATACATATTTGTATATGTGTACATATATAAAATATATTTTTGCATATATAAACATACACATATATACATACATATGCAAGTATATATACACACACATATATAAAAATACACACATATATAAATACACACATACTTTGATACACACACACACACACACACACACACACACACACAAAAACATATATTACGCCAGGCGCTATTGTAAGAACTTTACATATGTTAACTGGCTTAATTCTCACAAAAGCCCTAAGATAGGTGCTCTCATCCCTACTTTGGAGATAAGAAAGTTGAGGCCTAGAGTGGTTAAATAATTTGCCCTAAGTCACACAGGTCATAAGTGATTAAACAAGGACTTGAAACCAAGAACTTTTAAAGGCTATACTTTTTTTGGTGTCTATAACTTAATCTAAAAACAACAAAGATGGAACATTCTTTTTTTTTTTTTTTTTTTCCTTTTTTTGTCTTTTTTCGTGTCCGGCAACGGATCGCAACCCTCAGTGTCGCGCCCGTACCGGACCGGGACCAGCAACGGGATCGCAACCCTCAGTGTCGTGCCCGCATCTCGCTCAGCCAGTGAGCAGGAACCGGTCTGTATGTGGGATCTGAACCCTCGGCGGGAGCGCCACCATGCTCCCAAGCAGCGCACTGTATCAGTGCGCCACCGGGCCGGCCCCAAAGATGGAACATTCTGAACATGGTTAGAAAAGTTAATAACAATCTCAAAGAAAAAGTTAAATAAATCAGAAATAACATTATTTGTCCTCTCAGACTAATGAAATCTCTAAAAATCACTTCTTAAAATTTAAATTCATGTTTAATACAGGAAGTTCTTGTTCACAAAGGAGGCAAGATAGTCTTTAGAAAAAAAAACCTAAAGAAAAGATAAGGAGAATCCTAAAACCAACCAAAGGGTAGGGAATGAAGTGCTTTAGAGAAAGTGAATAGAGATAGCACATATCTTACTGAGATTTTATCAAATTTGTAACCAGCCACATTACCTTACATACCTTTGGTTTCCAAGTATAGAGTTATACATTAGTTACAAATAATAATTTTTACCTTCTTTATAAATATTTAAGCACCATATTTTTTTTCTCTAAGACACTGTACTGATTATCATTTTAGGAGTCATATAAAATATTGTTGATTTATTTGCTCCTGATCTTAATGCAAATACCTTTCAACATACAATTTCTTCTTTGATCTATTGGTTGCTATATATTAATAGATTTCCTGATTCCAAATCACCCATGCAACCTAAAGATAGGCCCAACTAGGTTTTACAATACTAATGATATTTTTAAAGAACTCCTGAATTATATTTACTAATATTTTAGGTAAGATTTTTATATCAGTACTTAAGTGACATTAGTCTGCAGTTTTGGATATGCATGTGTGCCACTTTTGTCTGATTTCTGTAACAACGCCATCCTGTATTAGTAAGAACAATTTTAAGTGTTCCTTCTTTATGCCCTAGAACAAGAGTCAGCAAACTACATCCTATGTGCCACATCTGATCCACCTCTTCTTTTACTAGATCACAAAATGCTTATTAAGTACCGTCTCTGCATAACAATCGTGAACATGATTGCGCCCAATACCAGGGCACCCAGGTATATCAAGCAAACACTCGTAGACCTAAAGAAGGAGATAGGACCTAGTACGTTAACAGTGGGTGATCTGAACACCCCTCTCTCACTGTGGGACAAGACTTCCAGGCAACAATTCAAAGAGACACAGGATTTAATCTACACCCTAGACCAACTGGACTGGGCAGATATATAAAGAACATTTCACTCAACGGCTAAAGAATACACTTTATTCTCATCAGTTCATGGTACATTCTCCAGCATAGACCACATATTAGGTCACAGATCTAGTCTCAGCAAATTTTTAAAAATTGAAATTATTCCAACAATCTTTTCAGACCACAATGGACTAAAACTGGAAATAAACAATAAGCAAAACACTGGAAGCTATACAAATACATGGAAAATAAATAACAGGCTCCTGAATTACCTATGGGTACAAGAAGAAATTAAACTGGAAGTCAAAAAATTCCTAGAAACTAATGAAAATAAAGATACATCATATCAAAACCTCTGGGATACTGCAAAAGCAGTACTAAGAGTGAAATTTATTGCAGTAAGTGCTTATATCAAAGAAATGGAAAGACTCCAAATAAACAACCTAACACTACGCCTTGAAAAACAACAACAATCCAAACCTAAAGGCAGTAGATGGAAAGAAATAATTAAGATCAGAGCAGAACTAAATGAAAAAGAAACCCAAAAAACAACAGAAAAAAAATCAACAAAACTAAAAGTTGGTTTTTCGAGAAGATAAACAAAATAGACACACCATTAGCTAGATTAACAACAAAAAGGAGACAGACCAAATAACAAAAATAAGAAAGGAAAAGGGAGACATTACAACTGATACCACAGAAATACAAAGAATCATTAGAGACTATTATAAACAGCTGTATGACAACAAATTCGAAAATCTGGAAGATATGGATGTTTCTAGAAACATATAAACTACCAAGACTGAACCAAGAAGACATAGAAAACCTGAACAGACCAATAACAAGCAAGGAGATTGAGGCAATAATTAGCAATCTTCCAACAAAAAAAAAAGAGTCTGGTTCCGCATGGCTTTACCATCCTAAATTTACCAGCTGAATTCTACCAAACTTTTAAAGAGGAGTTAATACCAATTCTCATGAAACTGTTCCAAACAATTGAAATAGAATCTACTCTTCCAAACTCATTCTATGAGGCCAACAAAACTCTGATATCAAAACCAGATAAAGACACAACAAAAAAAGAAAATTATAGGCCAATATCCTTGATGAACCTAGATGCTAAAATCCTCAACAAAACATTAGCAATCAGAATACAGCAACACATTAAAAAAATTATACACTATGATCAAGTGGGATTCATCCCAGGGATGCAAGGATGGTTTAACATACAAAAAACAATAAATGTGATACATCACATTAACAAGCTCAAGAACAAAGACCATATGATTATCTCAATAGATGCTGAAAAAGCATTTGACAAAATTTAACATTCCTTCATGATAAAGACTCTCAACAAATTAGGAATAGATGGAAAATATATTAACACAATAAAAGCCATTTATGCCAAGCCCATTATTCTGAATGTGGAAAAATTGAAGGCCTTCCCCTTAAGGACAGGAACAAGACAAGGATGTCCACTCTCACCACTTCTATTCAACACAGTACTGGAGGTACTAGCTAGAACAATCAGGCAAGAGAAAGAAATAAAGGGAGTCCAGATTGGAAAAGATGAAGTCAAACTTCCCCTATTTGCAGATGACACGATACTATATAGAGAAAAACCTAAAGACTCTATCAAAAAACTCCTGGTTAATAACTTCAGTAACGTTGCAGGATACTAAATAAATGCCCCTAAATAAGTAGCATTTATATACTCAAATCATGTATTAACAGAAAAAGAAATAAAGAAAGTAAGCCCATTTATGATACTCACCAAAAAAATACAATACCTAGAGATCAATTTAACCAAGGAGGTGAAAGACCTCCACAATGAGAATTACAAACAACTTCTGAAAGAAATTAAAGAAGACACAAAAAGATGGAAAGATATTCCATGCTGTTGGATTGGAAGAATTAACACTGTGAAAATGTCTATACTACCCAAAGCGATCTACAGATTCAATGCAATCCCCATCAAAACACCAATGACATTCCTCACAGAAATGGAAAAACAATTTTACCTTTCATATGGAAAAACAAAAGACCCCGAACAGCCGAAGCAATCCTGAGCAGAGAAAACAAAGCCGGAGGCATAACTCTGCCTGACTTCAAATTGTACTACAAAGCTGTTGTAACCAAAACAGCATGACACTGGTATAAAAATAGACATTCAGACAACTGGAGTAAAATAGAGAACTCAGAAATCACTCCTCAGGCTTATAGCCATCTGATATTAGACAAAGGCAACAAAAATCTAAATTGGGGAAAGGATTGCCTCTTCAACAAGTGGTGCTGGGAAAACTGGATATCCATATGCAGAAGAATGAAACTTGATATGCATCTCTCACCACACACTAAAATCAACTCAAAATGGATTAAAGACCTCGGTATAAGACCCAAAACTGTAAAATTACTAAGGGAAAATATAGGTGAAACACTTCAGCAGTTAGGTCAGGGCATAGGCTTTATGAACATGAGCCCAAAAGCACAAGCAGGAGGGGAGGGGGAAGGAGGTTGGGGGATAATTGGGAGAGGACAAAGGGTGCAAAAGTAATTTCTGGTAATGTGTATGCCCCCAGTATGAATCTCGCCCTCACATCATGGGCAGGAGGGGGGACAATTCGCTTTGTATCTCATGAACATTATTAATAAATAATTTTTTTTTTTAAAGAAGAAAATAATAGACAGTGGAGCAAAGCCTTCAATATCCTAAAGGAAAATGATTTTCAACTGAGATTTCTCTAATCAAAGACATTATCAAGCATAAGTGTAAAATAAACATTTTTAAAACAAACAAAAAAAAAGTATTGTCTATGGATACATTAACACTACAACGGCAGAGTTGAGTAGTTGAGACAGA